AGCAGTAGAACATTCCTTCATTTTCCTGAGCTGCATTTCAGAATAAAATTGTGCATTTGACTTTGTAAACAAAACAGTGCATTCCCTTGGTCTCCCAAAATGGAAGAGTGGTTTACTGTTAGAAGTGGATCCAAATCACTTTGCAGAAAATGGAGACTGCTGGCAGTTTCCCCTACTGATTTGAGCCTGCAAGCTTTAAAAAATATTGGGGTCCCAGTCTCAGAGCTTTGTCTACCACATGCACTCATTTGCTAGGGCTGACATAACAAAGTACCACAGACTGGGTGGCTCCAACAACAGAAACTTATTTCCTCACTGTCTAGAGGCTAGAAATCTGAGACCAAGGTGTGAGCAGAGTTGGTTTCTTCTGAAGTCTCTCTTCTTGGCCTGCAGACAGCAGCCTTTGCCCTTTGTCTACACATGGTCTTCCTTTTGTGTGTGTCTGCCTTCATCTCTCCCTATAAGGACATCAGTTATATTGGAGTAGGGACCATGCTAATGACCTCCTTTTAACTTAATTACCTTTTGAAAGACCCTGTCTCCAAAAAGGAACCCTTGTACACTGTTGGTGCGAATCTAATTTGGTATAGCCATTACGGAAAACAGTATGTAAGTTTCTCAAACAATTAAAACTAGAACTCTCATATGATCCAGGAATCCTACTTCTGAGTATCCATCCAAAGGAAATAAAATCAGTCTCTCCAATATACATATTATGACTGAAAAAAAAATCAGTCTTGAAGAGATAGCTATACTCCCATGTTCACTGCAGCATTATTCACATAGCTAAGATAGGGAAACAACCAAAGTGTCCACTGGCAGNACACACACACACACACACACATAATACATATACATGTAAAATACATATATACGTGTATGTATACATACATGTGTATATATACACATATAAATATACATATTTAAAATGAAATTTTATTCAACCATGATGAAGAAGGAAATTTTGACATTTTTGTTAGTCTGGGGAGTAGGGGAAAAAGGGAAAGGGGAGATATTGATCACAGGGTACACACTTTCAGTTAAAAGATGAATACATTCTAGAGATCTAATGTATAGTGTGATGACTATAGTTTATAATAATGTGGAGTATACTTGAAACACTCATGTGTTCTCCCAAACACATGCACAAAAGTGGTAATTATATGAGGTGATGACTATGTGGGTTAGCTTGCCTTTGGTAATCATTTTACAATGTCTACATATATCTATACATCACATTGCACTTCTTAAATATACAGTTTTTATTTGTCAGTCTGCCTCAATAAAGCTGAGGGCGTGGTGGAAATACTCCATCTCTAAATGCAGTCACAGGCTGAAGTACTGGGCATCAGGAATTCAACATATGAATTTGGGGAGGCACAATTCAACCTATAACGCCAACCAGAACTGCTTAAAAATAACACACAAACCCTTGAGAACCTTCAGGTTTAGATTAAAATCTATAAAAATTAAGGTATAATGGATATAACCTAGTTTTCAGGGTACCATAATTTTACTAGTCTCATTGTAGGCATTAAATTTAGTGTAAAGATATCAGCTTAAAACCAAAATAGATACCAGAGAGATGTCTGCAGTGTTTATTCAGTACTGTCTAGGAAGAAGGAGAACTTAAGCTTAGGTATATGTTGTATGTTGTGGGAAAGGTTGTAGAAGTCTTAGTTATTAAAGTTCCTTTTTACCATTTAATAATTTCAGGCAACTGTCAGATTTCTAGTTTCCCAGACAACTTGATGTGGAAAACTTTGATGTGAATAATAGACAGGGAGATTCCAATCACTTGAAGGAGATATAGATAGCAAATTTTCGCACTTGCTTTCTGGGGGTATACATCAGTCTCTTGTATGTTTGGCTATCATTAGTTTGTCTATGAGGTTCTTTTCTACTCTGGGTATCTTGAATTGAGTTATTAATTTGCCAACTTCTGAGGGGACCCAATGATCACAAGGTATTGTAACTCTGTGAGGCTTTATTTGGATGGCCATCTTGATGCCACCTATTATTGTGCCCTCGTATAACAGATATTTGTAGCAGAAAATTAGGCTGAGTCTGGGGATATGAGGAAATTCTGATTTAGACAATGCTCCAGGTTTTTGCTCCAGTTTAAAAGTAACTGATAATACATATGTCATTACTACTAATAGCCGGTAATTGTTTTTCTTAGAGCACCTCACAATCTCCCATGTCTAAGAAGTGCCCTATCCAGAGGAATATGTCCTCTCTAGCTAGACGTGTTTTCTGCTGTGGTAGCTACTAGCATATTTAAACTAGAGAGGGTGTTAGTGAAATAAAATTAAATTTATTCCCTTAGTTGCATTAGCCATATTTCAAGTGTATAACAGCCCTATGGAGCTACTACTCCTGAACTGGGCAGCACAAATTTAGAACGTTTCCAATATCCCAGAAAGTTCTATGGTTAAGTGCTGCTCTGGACTGTTTTTGACTCTGACCTCTTGACCGTGGCTGACTTAGAGCCTGTGTATTACTCCCAGAAATGATTAAGTCCTACGGGGTGGGCCAATGATAACTACATTCAGAAAAGAATGCCGTAAACTCTAGAATGTGAACGTCATAATTTATAATCGGGTATCTCTTTTCTAGGGGCAGGAATCTCCTGCCCACTCTTTCCCATGTCAATCATCTTCAGAATACGAGTTAGTGGTCTTAAATTTCTTGATCAAATTCCTTCCCCTTCTTAGGAATTTGGAACTGAGAAGGAGAGGTTTTCAGTCAGGTCCTCTAGGTGTCTAGAACTGTAAGACGAGGAGCAATAGTTATATCCCACCATATAAAACAGGCAATTGGATAAAGCAACAGAAAGAGAATTTAGGCAGGTAGGCAGAGTAGGCTGCCTATTTTATTTTATCTTATTTTCTATATTCTGGTTCAGGTTCCTTCCTTGGGCCGTTTGCATTCCTGACTTTGGAGTCAAGAAAATCTGCATTCAAATAGTGGATTCTTTTGTGCTTAAACTAGCTGGAACTGGTTTGTTATACAGGGAACCTCAATCCTAATATGCACACATGCATATACCATAGATGTGGATACTGACCCTTTCATATTGTGTAGCTATGTGTAGTTGTGCACAAACTTTGTATTTACTCATTGCACTGGGCCACCAGACTCCGTAGTCTTCTCTAACATTTCTGTATTTTTTCTCTTGCTTCTCTTCTCAAGAGTACTTAGGCTATCCTCTACTTTTTTTTTTTTTTTTGGTCTCTTTTCCTTCCTTTCATCGAAGTATGCTGTCTGCTCTTTCCAGGTGTGGAAGCTTTATGAAATCATGTAACATACTAACAACTGATTTTATTAGTTAGCTTGTATTGCATTTTAATCTCTTCTCAGGCTTGAATAATTCAGTTAACATTCACTAATAAATGATTGAATAAGTAATTCCTCATAGGCCAAAGTGGAGAATGTTAAGCATTAGAATCTGGCATGCATAGAACTGAAGGGGGTACTTAGTAAAGTCATAGTATTCTACTTCAGATGGATGGATTAGGAGAGACCTCTTGCAGGAGGCAGAAAGGATGAGTCAGCTATGAAAAGAATACGAGCAACAGCACTCCACTGAGGGAGGAAGCACATACCAGGGTCCTAGGCAGGAAAACGCTTAACGTTGTCAAGTAACAGAGAGGAGGCTAGTGTGGCCGGAGTGAAGAAAGCAAGGGAGAAGCAATGTGAGCCGAGGTGGAGGAGGGCTTCAAGCCAGGGCAGGAGGTTATAATTATCTGAAATATAACGGGAACATTTTAAGGGGATTTAAGCAAGGGAGTGACTTGATCTGACTTGCACCTGAAAAGAAAAAATCCCTCTGGATTAAGTCTGGAGAATGACTTGTAGAAGGCAAGCAGGGGACCAGTTAGGAGGCTACTGCAATTGCTGGCAAGAGATAGATGGCTTGGCCCATGAGGATTGGACTCAAAAGAGAGAACTTTATGACAGCATTTGAGATTTTGAAGGTAAAAATATAATTTCTTACTGATGAAATTACTCCTTTTACGTTCTCAATAGCCAGTGCCCATACTGAAACTGTCAATGAAGGTGTCTCGGACACGCTAAACAATGTGCAAACCCTGAAAAGTCAAGAGGACCTTTCCTCAGTATTAATGACTCTGGGCTCAGCTCTACGTAAGTACCTAGATTCCAACAGCCCCCCAGAGTACAATTCTGCCATTTTTCTCCCTTCCCTTTGAGCGAACTTGGGAGAGGTGATTTACCGAAATACGATTGTAAGCGGAGTTTGGGCTTCAGTGGTACACCCCTAACTTAATTCTAATAAGTATTCGCTTTTAATTTGGTATTAGTTATTTTATATCGCACGAGGTGAGGAGAAGGCATTTTGCTGACAGCATCTCATTTGATCTAGGTATACTGTATTCGCCCTTTTACCCCAAACAACCTAGGGCACATGCCTTCACAATAATTTATTTTCCATTATAAATGGGTTCCCTTTCTCCCATACAAGTCTTGTGCGCATGGGGACCCGCTTCCCGCCACACAAATGCACTTATTGTCTGTACCACACTAGCCCCTTTGGATTTCATGCAGCGTGCATTTCCTGCACTCAAGCTGTTTGCAGGCTGCAAGCGTGCTTGCTCGTTCCCCTGCCCCCACCGGATCCGAAGCTTTTGTTTCAGATGTTCATTCCGGGCGCTATTAAAATGCTTGGGCATATCGTTAATAAGTAAATGAATGACTAGAAACTTTTCTTTTGGCTGTTAACCTTTAGGCTACTGTCCAGTGAAGTTCAAAAGGCAACTGAAACCAGCAGCTCGTGTAAAGGGGCCAATCCACACGGAAACAACGGAAACGTGGACATTATTTCCTGAACTTGTTGCACTGAGGATATTTACGCTTTTCTTAGCGCAACGCTTTGCAGTGGCATCCGAGGGCGGGCCGAGGGGCTCCACCGGCCACCCGAGCGGCCTTGCACGGGGAGGGGGCGAGGCGCAGGCCCCGCGGCCGAGTGGACCGCGACCTCCGGGTGGCGACGCTCTGGCCCGCGTTTGCTCGATGGTCGCGCGCTGCCACCCGGGCCCGCACGGTCCAGTCGCCAGGGGGCGCGCTGACCGGCGGCGCCGATCTCCGAGCTGCGCGGCCCGACTCGCGTCCGCCATATTGGATGCCGCAGCCGCTGCTGCCAGCGCTTCCTCCTCCGTCTTCGCCGCGCGCGGGTGGTTCCTGCGGCCCAAGCGGCGGGGAGGTGAAAGAGGAGTCTGACGGAGGAAGCGGGTGGAGAGTCGGGGGGACGGGGACAGAAGGGGGACGAACGAGACCGAGTGGGGCGGAGAGAAGGCGCCGCGGCCCGGCCCCTCCCCCGTCGGCCCGCCCCGGCAGCGCCTGTGTTCCCCAGACCGGCGCTCCGCCCGCCCTAGCGGCCATGCCCGGGCCTCGCTGCCCCTGAGGGAGCCCTTCCCCGCCGGCGCCTGCCTTCGCGGCGCCCCCTCCTCGTGGCCGCGCCGCCACCCCCGGCCCGCGCTCTCCGCCCAGCGCAGTGGCCGCCTCCTCTTCCGCCGCCGGGCTCGGGGCCTCCGCGCCGTCAACATGGAGGCCGTGAAAACCTTCAACAGCGAGGTTGGTATCGCAGTCCAGCCGCCCCTCCCGCGCACACTCCCCCGGCCGGGGCGAGGCCCGCGCGAGCAAGGTGGGCGCGGGCCCGGGGGTTTTTCCAGGGAGGGGCGAGAGGCGGCCTAGCCGAGCCCGTGGGGGAGGGGTGTTTTTCTACCCCGGCGCCCCTCCCCCGAGTCGGAGGGGAGGGCCGCCCGGGGCGGAGGGCGGTTCCTGTGGATTCCGCGCCCCGTGGAATGGCTGCGGGCTGGAGGGATGGCCCCGTTGGGCCCTCCCCCGGAGGCTCGGGCTGGGCCCGGGGGTCAGCTCCGCGCGGCCTGGCCCGCCCGCCTCTTTCCTGGGCCTGCGGGATTTGAAGTGCACCCTGGCCTGCGCTGCCCAGATCTCTCCCGGGGCCTGAGGAGGCGGGCGCGGACGGGGCTAGTGCGGCTGCAGAGCCTACAGGGGTGACGATCTGTGGTCACATTGCGCATAGTGTTTACATTGGAGGTATTGTTGGCTAGGTAACCTGCCAGCTAGGGACTTGTGCTGAGAGGATGGTTGGTCGCGAGGCGAGATTATTTCTGCGATTTCTTTTATTCTTACTCTCCTCTCTAAGCATCACGACTTACAGACTCAAATGGTAGGAGGAAGAGAAGCATGGAAAGAGGAAAGATGCTGGGGAAGCATTTCCTCGGGCTCATTCATATGTCAAATCTAACACTGGATTTTTAGCAAGCAGGTGTTCGCTATTTAGCTGAAGTTTACTAGTCCGAATATCAAAGATATACTTCTATAGCATGTATTTAAAATTTTTTTTAAACTCCGACTTAAATAGACCTTAATGCAAAACATTAGACATAGCAAATGCATATCTATGCAACCATAATTGTCCTTATCTGTATGCCTTAGAAAAAAATATTTTAATGTGATATTAACAAATTTCGCATACATTTTATGAACGTTTGATGTGGAAGTGCAAACACTCTATTCAAGAGTATGATCAACAAAATCTTGTGTTCCCCTCTTAAAGTACCAGTATTCTTTTCTGTGATAGTTCGAACAGGACAGTGCTTTTAAAAGCTGTTTTAAAATTTTCTTTTTTTTCTTTACTTTTCTTCCTTTCTTTCCTTCATTCTTTGAATAATTGGCATTTGGGAAGTTTAGCAAAGAGGCTAAAAGTTAGGATATGGACTCTCCATGTTAGAGTAGATAGCGACACAGTTATGTGAAAGTAAGCACTTTTTTGTAAAGGATTTTCTTTTCCTTTTTTCTTTTGTTTCACCACTTCTTAATGAGAGCGATAGACTTGGGGTAATCTTTGCAACTTTTTTAATGAATTTATAGCTGATAATTTGGGGGCAAATTATAAAATCTGCTTCTTCCCCACAGTAAAGTGCTTAAGATCTGGAATAAAAAAATAGTTAATGATACTGTATATCCTAGTTTATGATAATTTCACAGATGCACAGAAAAAAAAAACCCCAGCTGTGTAGCCTTTTTATTTGCTACATACAATGGTATAGAGTAATAGAATGTTAACATTTTAAAAATTATATTTAAAAAGGTTCTTATTTGAGCTGCTAATTACTTGATTCACCCCAATCCTTTTTGTCTAGGCTCGAGGGGGGGTTCCTAATACGGATCCTCCCATCACTCCCAGTCCCCCCTCCCACCCCTGTCCCCAGGTTTTAAATAGGACCTCTCCTAGTAGTTAGAAACAAGGGATTAGCCCCTTGGTCACTAGATAGCACAATGGAGTAAAATGTTAGCTGTTTTTTCATTTTAATAGTGACATTAAGGATAGGGGCCTAACTTTACATAGCTGACTGTTCTACCTCTTTTCCACATCTAATCTTTATAGGGACTTGAAATTTGGAGTAGTAGTCCCATTTTAGTGTATGTGGCACTCTCTCCTTGCTCCCTGTGGATTTCGAAGAACTTAAACTACCTTATTTACTAATAATATGCTAAAACTTCACCATGTTTGAAAGTAGGATTAACTTAAAAGCAATACAGAGTCAAAGAGTTGAGGAAGGAAAATACATTTGAAGAAGATTCTGAACAGAAGAAACTACAGGTTCAAACACAAAATAGATAATGTTTTTTCTGAATTGTGAATGTTTATAATGCTTGACACAGTAAAAATCTTGTTACATGGAAAATAGTAAAATAATATTTTTCATTAAATCTTGTGCTGCAAAGTGCCAAAATAAAAAAGAAGTCTGAATTACAAGATTAGGAGAACAGAATGTTTCAGAATGTTTACCTAACAGTGAATTTGGCTTTTAAAAGTATTTGTCCTTGGGCTGAGCCCATCAGAACTTTGTCTGCTAAATTTAAATACACCTTTGAAGCATTGAATTGTCAAGAAATTGTTTGCTTTATAAGGCATTAAAATTTAGCTCTAACCATAATCATTAATGTTAAAAATATGAAATACTTAGCTTTTATGGCTTGCTAATTCTCAGATTTTTCAAGACTGCTTCTCTCTCCCCCTTAGAACATTGGATTGAAAACAGGAACGTGCTGACATTTTAAAGTTTAGAGGTTTTTTTAATCTGCAAACCATGGATGAGTTTCAGTCTGAAATCTGTGACTTTATGTAGGATGTGTACGAGTCACGGTTGGTGTGTACCCTCCTGCCCTTCCGCCACAATTTCTCAAAGGGGTTCTGTGGCCTCCCCACTCCCTTGTTCAAAACCACAAATACAAGATCCTTTCTGCGGTAAATTCCTCTTAGTAATCATGAGTTCAGTGAAATTAAGGCTTGAGAGTTGATCTCAGTATCTGCTGTGTTAATTTTGTGGGACAACCATCATTTCCGTTGACTGGAGTGCAGCAGTGTCGTGGGAGCTGCATGCCTGCACTCTGTCCTTAAGAATCATTGTGTGGAGGCCATTATGGTAGGGTCTTGTTTTTGAAAAGAGGGAAAGGAGAACAACAGTGCCTGACCCTTTGCTTAGAAAATTATAACTTAATTAGAGAGGGCACTTTCATAAAATAGGAACTCTTAATACATGGAAAGTATGATTCTGTTATGCATTGGTTATACTTAGACAAGAAAGTAACGAGGTAGATTTTTACTTGTGTATTGGATTCATTTTTAATTTTTAAGTACTATAAAACAAAATAGCCCCAATATCATTATCACACTTAAAGAAGTTAACAACAGATCTCTACCGTAATCAAATATCAGCCAGTGGTCGGTTTTTTTTTAAAACATTCTTTGTATAGGTAGTTGCATTACTATAGTTTTTTTCCCCCATGTCCATTTCTTTTGCTGCTCTGAATAGCCTGAGTAGGAGGATGTAGGAACACATACGGAGGTATGGAATGTGTCAGGAAAATTGTTGCAATTTTTTTCAGTTTGCAAAGATAAATGCGGAATTATTTAATTTTTTGAATTTACCGTGATTCATAAACCCTGTAAGGATACTAGTGTCTTTTACCATCTTAAGGATTCTTAAGTTCTTAATGTTGTTTGTCCTTAGGGTCTTTTGGTTAGTTAGACGGCTTACTGTTTAAACTGTTCTGGATACAGACTTTCCAGAGTCACTTTAACACCCAGTACATTTTCCTCTTGTATGACTTGTCTTTCACATCAAAAGTGAAATCCCATTTCTGTTTTACTCCCAGTTTTGTATCCAGTATTCATTTGCCTATACAGGATTTTTTATAATCTTTCTACCAATATAGAGTGGCAGACATGGCTTGGTAGAGAACAGTGGGAAAGGTAGAGCGAATAAAAGCATGTGAAATTTGTTCTTTGTACATTTCCCCCTTGTGTTCAGGAAAAGGAATTTATGTGAAGCAGGTATAAAACATGACATTTTTCTTCCATTTTCATCCATTAGAGAATCTGGTGAATTGTATCATACATACGGCCATCTTTTTTGTTTCTACCTTATGAAAATCCCTTAAAGATATGGTATACTTAGTGTCATAAAAGAAGGAAGCCCCTGCTAACCCCCCGACCTCAGTGATTTAAATTGGAGTTTCTCAAGAAAGCCTTGGCACTAGTGTATTTTGGGCTGGATAATTATGTGCTGTGAGGAGCTGTTCTGAGAGTTGAAGGGCATTTAGCAGCAGAACTCCGGTCTCTGTCCATTAGGTGACACTAATGTGACAACTGGAAACATCTCCAGCTACTAACCAGATGTGCCTTTGGGGGCAAAATCAACCTTGGTTGGAAATCACTGATTTAGGTCCCCTCTTAGACTGGCTTAAAACACTGTACTTCCTCTTCGAGTGATTATTAGTTTTAAGCAATTAGTAACAGTCTTTCCAACCAGACCATAAGCTCCATGAGGACAGTGACCATATAACTTCATATCCTTGGTATATATAGCACAATGTGTAATACATAGTATATGCTAAATAAAGGTTTCTTGAATGGATGAATGATAGATACACTGGGTAGTAAATGTCCTGGACCAACTGTAGTTAACATTTCTGGACATTTGATTTTCTTCTCTGTTAAATAAAGGACTGATTTGAGATTATATTTAGGTTTCCTGTTAGTTGGAAGATTCTTTGACTAAATATAAAATTACTTTTTGGAGGACTTTGTATAAGCATTATTTTGAAGGACATTTTATGGTGCTGTAGCAATATAGGAACTTAGATGGCAATTTTAAAATGAAAACTTCTGATTCATTTATAATTTTTGCTTAGTGGGGAGAGTTGGGAGGAGAGTATTCCATTGAAGGTCCCAGTTAGATTAAATCTAAGTTTTATGTTGTAATTACGCTATTTTTAAATTTTTTTTCTTATTTTTCAGTTTAGAACAACATGATGTAAAAGGTTTTTTTCCTTCCCAATATTTAAAAATTTAGAATGTAAGAGTAATTGAGATTGATAATGATTTTGAGACTGGATGATTTGCAAGTGTTGTAGTCTTAAACACCCAAGATTAAATATAAAAAATTTTTGGCAAGATTGAAATCGATGTCATTGGTACAGCTTGACCATTTTATTCGAGGCTAGCGTTAAGTTACAGTACTTTCGATTGACATTTGGGGGAC